CGCCGCCGGGCCTGGTCTGTGGCGAGCTACCTATACTCCAAGAAGAGCGGGAGATCACCAGCTCAGGGTCATGTGGGCGGGACGGCTCGTTAAGGGTAAGTTACTTTAAAGGTATAGAATTGTATTAGTACAATCCGGTCTAGTTAACGTGACTTCACAACGACGCTCTGTTACGGACGGAGCGAACGCGGGGAGGTGTGCGGTTAAACGGAAAGGAGAGTCGCATTTCAGTGAAGTGCGCAGTTAGCTCGATGGTTCTATAACTTTATTTCTCAAACAAATATTGAATTTTAATAACTTATAGGTACATCAATAATAATCAAAATTGTACAATCGTTATTAAAACCCCGCCTTAGGCAGTTAGATTTTTTCAAGTTGTTTATTTATTAACATCAAATTCAAAATTGAAAATTGTGATATATTGACTTGCATTACCACCACATGCGCAGTTGGGTAACATTTGAGTCATAACTTATGAGTGCACACGGCTTATGTTATGAGTCATAATAAGCCAGTGTGTGCGAACCAGTCTGCGGTCATATACATTGCGCATCTGTAAACCACGCCCATTGCCTGTCACGTGACTTTTTTTGCACCAACTTGTATATCACCATATTTTAAGATCCTACTTTTTGTCTCCACCAGGCTGCCCATTGACAGTGAATGTAAACGCCGGCTCCGAGAGTGGTGACGCGTCGCGAGTCGTTTGCTCGGGCGCTGGACTAGTGGGCGGCGTCGTGGGAATGGAGATACGATCGTGGATCGACACCAGGCGCGCCGGGCCCGGCGAGCTTACGGCGCACTGCACGGGGCCCAACAAGGTAGGCTGTGTGACGAGCATATAAGACTCCAGGAATATCTGGACTTTCTGGCCAAAGATTGTCATAGAATAGATCATTTTGCGCCGTAACGTAGGCCCCGTTTCCACAAAGGCGGAGCGGAGAAGTGTCGGGCTGTCAAATTTTTCTATAGCGGGGAGCGAAGCTGTGCGGAGTGATGATGGGTAGTGGAAATGATAAAATCTGAGGAAAAATTGTGTAAAGTAATCGTTATCATTTGACAGTCCATAACGTACGATTATTCTGTCAACCGTTTAACCGGTTTGTTTAACCGACTTTATCGTACGTTATGAACTGTCAAATGATTACGATTGCTTTTCACAATTCCACCTTTTATTGGTTATTCAAAACACTTTTCCGCTCTGCTCTGCCTTGGTGGAAACCGGGCCTTTTATCACAAACTTGAACGTCAGACATCGATTCAAGTCGGTTGCTGATGACAAAGCAGAGTTCATAATGCGGCTCTGTTTGCCATCAAAACTATGTTTCAACAAATTGTTTTTACGACTCCTATTCGGTCTTATCCAGTTGAAGTTTTGTATTGCACCATACTGAAAAAACACTCCTTTCCAGGTGGCGTACTGCGAACTATACGAGCACGGAGACGGCACGTTCACGTTAAATGTCAAACCAGCTGAGGCGGGGCGACACGTGCTGAGCATACAGTTTGCGGGCGACCACGTGCCCGGCTCACCCTTCGTGCTCAAGGTGGCTGGAGCGCCCGACCCTTCTAAGGTAAGCTAAATGGAACAGGGATGGTTCTTTTTATAGTGGTTGATTAGACGATATAGGAAAATTAATGGGAGATTTTATTAACTGAACTAACGTTTATAAATCTATTACACGGTAAACGGTAATATTTGTGTTAAAGAACTATTTACAATGCCTTTTTTTTGACGTCGAGAAATATTTTTTGATCAAACCCACTAGTCGATGGAGACGGCCAGAGGGTTATATAGGTCTCTCGCCGCCAAAAGGGCGGGGACTAATCATTAATACCCGAGGGTTTCCACCGAGGCCCAATAAAACGGAAGGAGCCGCGTGTTAGCACTAACTTTGACATATGAGACCGCGGCTCCGTCTCAGGCTGTTGATCTCAGGCTCAGAGTTGATCTCGAGCGAGCCTATCTGGCTTCGAGGGGTCCACAATTCCTGGATTGAAAAACCCAACCCGACCGAATTATTGATTGAAAAATCTCTCAGACCCGTAACAAAGACACTCAAACCTCACATATCCAAATCTTGCTTCAAAATGAACCTTATTGACAAGGCACGTTTCAGTTGTGGCTCTTTTCTGCCTCCATCCCCTACATCCTACTGCCTTTACCCAAGAGCTGTTATAAAAATGAGCCTTAATAACAGGTCCGCGTATACGGTCCGGGCGTGGAACCGGGCGTGCTAGCAACGTTCCAGTCGCGTTTCTTCTGCGACACGCGCGGCGCCGGCGCCGGCCAGCTGACGGTGCGCGTGCGCGGCCCTAAGGGCGCCTTCCGCGTCGAGATGCAACGCGAAAACCAGAAGGACCGCACTATACTGTGCAAGGTATGTAACTAGTCTCAATAAGCCTTACTAAGGCCCAGAACAGACGGTGAAACGAAACTGCAACTGCTAGTTACTTTTGAGTTGCATCTAAGTTTCTGCCATAGCTTCCGTTGAGAGACCACAAATGACGCGACCAGTTTGAAACTTTCAGTTTCAGTTTCATTCATAAGAATCATCAGAAAGTTGCAGTTTCGTTGCAGTTGCGTTTCACCGTCTGTTCTGTGCCTAACAGGTCAGCATATACGGGTCAAGCGTACTAGCCACGTTCCAATCGCTGTTCTTTTGCGATACCCGTAGCGTGGGCGCCGGCCAGCTGACCATGCGCCTTCCGTGTCGAGATGCAGCGTTAGAACCAGAAGGATCGCGTACCAAATATCAAGGATCCTTATTAACAAGGCCGGGACAAATTTGACCTTCAATGGTTGGTTTTAATTGGCGGTCAAGCTGTAGATCCTGGCTACAAGTTGCAGCGGTGGAAACGATGGGTGGGAATAGTCTCGTAGTAGAACCAGGCTGCTAGCAACGTTCCAGTCGCGTTTCTTCTGCAATATAGTGTGGTGTTTCAAACCATGCTTTATATTCCAAATACCTAACTTATCATTTATTTTGACGGTCAAACTTAAAACTTCTTCATGAACAATATGCATATTTTAATCTCAAGTACTGAGGATTATTGATTAGATTAACTATGATAAGATACCTTTGCCACTATACTGATTGGAAAATAATCAAAGATTAAATAGTTTATCTCCTTCATAAAAAACAAGTGTGTTTTATATTTATCTTATCATAGAATGTGGTGGCAATCGTCTCACGGTCTTTAAATCCTTCAATTTCAATAACTTGATAAGGCTAAGGTACCTTTTAATTCAAATTAATATAAAGTACTCTTGCCTCCGCGGTTAACAGATTTGACTGAGCTAGAATCTTGGGCAGGTTACACATAATATTAATCAATTTATGTATTTCATCCCTGTTTCATAAGACTAAAATAAATCTGATACTCTAACAAGAATAAGATTTCGTGATTCGAAGGGCACGTTACGTCATTCGACGGTTCGGTTTCATTTAGTCAAAAGAGATTTATATCAGCATCTAATTAAAATAAGAAGTCTACTCAAGTTAAACAGCCCTTAGAGTAGGCGCACACCGTTGATTTTTCGTCGGCCGATAGTTTAGTCGGGCAGTTGATTAGTATGGGCATGTATGGGAGTGCGCACACTACGCCGATTCGATTTGGCCGATTCTTCATACAATTTAAAATCGGGCACAACTATCGGCCAACTAAAAATCAACGGTGTGCGCCTACTCTTAATTTATAATTCTTTTAAAGAAACAAATGTCTTAATTATTAATATTCCCATACAGTTTTCGCCCACCGAGCCAGGAGATTACCGCGTAGAGGTCCGATGGGCCGGCCGCCACGTGCCCGGGTCTCCGTTCCCGGTCATGATATTCGACACCCAGGAGGAGCTCCGCCGGTACATACAGGCCACCGCCGCTTGACACTAACATACGACCCTGCCATCTAGGTACTACATAACTCAATTTATAAGGCCTAGTTTACACTGAGATGCAAGCAATTTAAATATCTAAAACTGAAATAAATCAATACAATCTTGGTGGACATTACACTATGGCACCAAAAATATAAAACTTCGTGCCTCTGTGTGAACTGCGCCTTTTTGCTTGCAAGTCTGTAGCTTATTACGCGATCGGACAGTTTTCGTTAAAATAACTGTGCAGCATGTTCAAACGAATTTTATGACTATTTTAACTACACGTAATTTATAATCATGACATACTTTCGTTGCATAAATAAACTCCCACGTCCACCTGAACGAAAAAAGTTATTAAATAATCTCTTACAAACTTGATATTTTATAGTATAGACCACCCATTTTGCCAATTTGTACTTACTGTAGATTAAAGTAAACCATTTCCTAGTAACACAACTTATTCCACGCTTTAAAGTATAAAGTAGAAATTTGTGGATAAGAAAAAATAGCAATACAACAAAAAATTAAAATCAATAGTAAAAATAGTTATGTTGACAATGTTCAAATGAGTATACGGCAATGAACAAATACATTAAAATTTCTAAGCCTATACAAATATTGTAAGTAGCTTAAATAAAACTCGGCATCTCTTGACAATCCGTCCATTTATTATAAGGTAAAGATTCAAAAATCTTTAATCTCTCGAATCTCCCGTTTTCTACGAGTACATACATATTAATGCAAAATATTAATCTTAAGGGAAACATAATAAATTGTTTATTTGTTAATATTTATTAATGGCATTTAGGCTTATAATCATTTAATTAACTTAACTATTGTAACTAACGAAGTATTTTTATTGTTATTACACGGTCAAGTTCATGCTACGGATCGTACGATTGAACTGGACCGTGTAAACCTGAACTATTCAGTTACTAATTGTTAATAAATTGAAATTTATTACGTGCCGTTTTTAATTTGATTTCCTTTGCCCCAAAAGTAATAATGAAACGTAAGTAAGAATGTTAGGTGAAATTAGGGCTTCGACAATAACATTTTAGGAAGACATTGATCCACCCAAAGTAAAATAAAGCTGGTAGACAAGCTGGAAGCTGGTAACGAAACTTTTCTATGACACTTATTGAGATCTATTCTAAAATAAATTAAAAATCCTAAAAAATCTACACCGGTGGCAATTGGTTGGTACAGCTGCGAAAGAGGTAGATTGAAGGTAGGTACATTATAATAAACCTTATGCTATTGACACAAGTTATTCTTAAACTACTACATGCCCGGTTTGTATCGGAACGCGATAGATCTTCGGTCAGGGAAAGCCGTGCGCGTAGTACGAGTGTCACCCGCAAGATGGCCGCGGAGCGCATCTAGACTCTGCCAGAGTTGCTGCATTTGCCCGAATATTATCACTTCCAGTCGCTGTATAGCGCTGTGGAGTTCTCCTGTGAAAATAAGTATTAAAACTGTAAATTAAAAAATAGAAAATGGATAAGACGTCAAAATTTAATTACAGATTTATGATGGTTTGACTGGGTCCACTCTAGATATCGCTGTTAAAGGAGTATAGATAGGATCCTATACTCTTTTATCATTATTATCATCATTTTAGCCACACGACGTCCGCTGCTGAAAATGGCCTCCCTCAACGATTTTCAGATTAGCCGGGTGGTAGCGGTCTGTATCCAACATCCTCCTACAACTTTACAGATAGGTAGGTATCGTATATCTGGTAATTGGCACTATGTCTTTGAAGAGTTTGGAGTAAGAAATAAGATAGCAGCAGCACATTAAAATGTAATATCTATGTGTGCAGAATCAAACGCGATATTGACCTCTTATTTCACTCGGCGCCTTGCCATGAAGATCGAATCCGTTCCGGCTTAGCATTTACGACCACGACCGACCCATTTACGAGTCCTAAATTAGTGTATTTCCATACAAACGATATGACGCGCTGTCCAGGTTTGTGATGTCATCAATAAAATTAATAACCCATGACCCATTGGTGATTTACCAAACAAAATTGGCTGGTTACTGGTCACAATTTGTATGGAAAGATTAACTTTCTTGGGGGATTTAAACTTTCTTCCCTTGTGGAAAGTATAGTTGAATTTGAGCAGTAGAATCAATTCTTTTTTTTATCACCCACCAATGGGTCACCCTGTATTAAAATAGGGGTGTTTTACAAGAAAAAATAGTCTGATGCGGATGTGCTATCGACTTTACCTACATGATAACATGTCACTTCCTCAGTGCCGTATTATCCATAAGGCACTTTAGGCCAGTGCCTAGGGGCCCACTATGACCAGGGGCCCAGCACTCCCGATAAAAAAATGAAAAATAAAAAACATGATGATGTATCAGAAAAGGTCAATTTTCAAGAAGTTTTAAACGATTTTGTATCTAAAAAAATTAGAAGTATACCTTTTCAATGTTATGACTAAAGTCTGTTGTTGATAATGATGGTACCTTCATTCAATTTCGTAATGTAGACAGTAAAAATTTCCAAATTGCGTTGTTGTGGTATGAAAAAGGGGGGGCCCGAAACGAGTTGTGCCTAGGGGCCCCGAGATGGTTAATCCGGCCCTGCACTTCCTTGATGTGACGACTCCATGCAGCCTCCTTGTGATGGTAGCGTTGGCGGTGGCGTTAACCTCTTGAGTCCGGACGGAGCACATGGCCTGGGCCTCCTCTCTGGGCCCGCTGCCGTGGTACGTCACATTCCGGGCCTCTATGAACGGCTGCTTGTGTGCGTCAAACGTTGTATGATACTGTACATCTTAGCAAATAAGTTCTTACTTGACGTGACGACTCCATGCAGTCTCCTTGTGATGGTAGCGTTGGCGGTGGCGTTAACCTCTTGCGTGCGGACGGAACACATGGCCCGGGCCTCCTCTCTGGGCCCGCTGCCGTGGTACGTCACATTCCGGACCTCTATGAACGGCTGCTTGTGTGCGTCTGGCGAGGTGCTAATCGTGTAATGGGGGCCTCGTACTGAAAGTGTAAAATTGGCTAATTGAAACTTCATGGACAAAAACTAATTTGTACTCCTTTTAAGTAATAGGAGAGATTAAAGCAATACAAACACTATGGCATACTTTTGAACAAAGGAGGAAAGAGGCGGAAGAAAAAATATTCTATGGAGCAGAAGAATACGATAGATAGGCATAATCGTTATGAGATGCTCAGATGCTCAAACTACAATAGAATGTGTGGCTAAAAAAGATAGAACTAAATTAAAAACAAGCCTGACGAATCACCTGTCGAACCAGTTGTACTCGCTCTACTTCTGCGGTTGATTTTCAGGTAGGACACTAATATCAATTTAGATGAAGTTCCTATTACCTACCTATCTGGGTTTGAACTGATATATGTATAAGGGAAAACAAAGGTAAATAATGAATGCTAATAATAATATTGTCTTGCGCCCACGCGCTCCTGTTTTAGGCCAACTGACAAACACTTAGTTAATAGGTACGAATGTAGGTATGTAAAAAAATTGGAACAATACCAGCGGCCAATTAGCAACCAATTGTGACCGACGTGCGAATGAATTGAACATGTGAAAATAAATACAAAACCATCGATCGATATCGACCTCGTCAGAGAAGAAATCGGAATACAGCCTTTCGTTGTAGAGTGAAATTTATTTATTACAGAATATATTATTGGTAGGTAATTTATTACTAAGAAAAGCTAGATATAGGTTTTACGTCTGGTAAAGTATGTTACCTTAATAGGTACCTACCTACTTAAATGTTATTCAAGCTATATTAATTAGGATACGTCAGCTTTTACTAATTATCCAGTTATCTACTGCGTGCGTGTCTTTACCCTGAGAACGAATAAATATCGTTCTCTACTTTACTTAATCGTTTTTTTTTTATGAAAAACAAAACAACATCAGGAATAACACCGAAATCGTAAGTACTTATTCCTTAAAACAACGTACTTAGCTGTTTTTAAGAATACTTACGATTACGAGTGTTATTCGTGCTCAGGGTATTGAGTAGGAATCAAGTGATAGTACGTTACCAAAATATTCACTTACTGTGGTGGTACGCTGGAGCTGTGCCCACTAAAGTCACGAAAGTGTACGTAAACAACACCAAACTAAACACAAATGTCCACATTTCGAAGTATTTAAACGATCACAACATTTAATTATTCCTTCACTATTTACAACACTGATTTTCCGAATAACTCATCCATATTTCAGTTTATTTTCTAAGAGATACCCTACAAGTTGTGTGTTGCATGAATGATTTCAGAGCACTGAGCGCGATCTCCTCTGAGTCAAAATAAATAGTGCTGGATGATGGAGCCACCTAAATTGTACCTACCTAAACAGAATAGTGCCCAACTGAAAGAATATGTCTGGGGCATTGTACCAATTTTATTGTCATTGACATCATGGATCATGATGACTGTAGTCTAGACAGCATGCACTAAATGTAGAGTGCACCATGCACTACAAAAGAGTTTAGGTAAGTAAGTACTTATTCAACAATCCTAATAACCATAGGAATTGAATCTTGTCCAACCAAACTAAAGCGCGAGTACTTAATGCAGTACTTCAGACACATAGTTTTAACTAGAAGTTAACTATGTACTCAGGTAATAAATAGTTAACTATAATAGCCGTATACCTGAAGTTCAAGATCAATCGAAACTGAAAATAGAAAAACGGCGCTTTAACAAAACAAACACAGGCCCATCATCAACTCCGCGATTTGTTCAACAGTTTTCACCAAAACCAAACTACATTAAAACTAATTAATTTCAATCTGTTGAATTGAAATACAATCAATCTGAGAATGTATCTAACCCTCCATATTTTTTCTCCATCAAATCAAATCATTTATTGCATTATGTAGGTACATGTGTGGTTTGACAGAGCTGGTAAATGGTAGGGTAGTACATCACATGCACCCTGTAAAGGCATAGCTAGTATTAAGTATAATAAGTCAATCAATCAATTTATTTACATTATAAGCATTTATTTATTTATTTAAAATCTTTATTGCCCTCAAAAATTGAAAAATTGCGGTAGATAAGGCGACATTAATGCCATGTGACATTCTCTACCAGTTAACCTATAGGCCAAACGAGGAATTCGAGTAAGTAAGTAGCATACGCATTTTTTTCTATGATATTGATGGCTGAAAAATTACTAACTACGAGTAGGTACCTAGGTCTACCTAGGTAATATGATCTAATATAATAAATAAATAAAATAAATTTGGATTGTACACAACAGTGAGTTTAAAACTGACTGAGCTGCTGTTTGTTTACGGAACCCATCCATGCCGTTAATAGATCAGTTGCCAAGTACAACGTGAAGCGTGTAAATGCCCATCGAATTATTTTTGGTGCGATTCGTAATCCTAAAGTACCTACCTACGTAGGTTTAATGCTGGGTAAGTAAGTAGGTACTACGGGATTTGGCTAACTTTCATTTAAAAAATTTATTATTATGAACCTTCGATCATTATTATTTTTAATTTTGTGCAATTTGGATGCTAAGAAATAAGTGTCAAACCTATGATGCATAAGTACCTACCTTCGTATGAAAATAGGAAGCATGAAAAAAAACATACTTAAGTAATTATAATACGTCCATCTGATCTCTCATCTTAATATGCCATTAAAATACCTAATCCGTTCGTATCCGGATACGAACTTGGGACTGCCATTCAAGTGATTTTTGCTCCACTAAGCCATCGTGCAGTCAATACGATTACGAAGATCTCAAAATAATTACCTATAGACATAGCTGGGCACCGTTAATCAAATAGTTAACTTCGTTAATCGTTAAACCGTTAATAAAAAAATTAACTTCGTTAAACGTTAAAACGTTACATTTCGCAAGATTTAACGCAAGTTAACGTTAATCGTTAATCCGTTAACACATGATAATTATAACGAAAAAAATAATTGTATGCAAGGTTTAAATAATTTCGAAAGCTTGTAGCGCAAACATAAAAGAGGAATAAATTCCATGCGCGATACAAGCTTTCGAAATTATTTGAACCTTGCTTAAGTAGGTACAATTATTTTTTTCGTTTTAATACAACTGCATTTCAGAATAAAAGGTTGTTCTTAAAAAAGTTTAAAACACTTTTTAGTAGTATCTCAATCTCAGAGCTTTGGTTTAATTACAATACAATTTAGCACCAATCCCAACTATATATATTATATATAATATTATAAATGCGAAAGTAACTCTGTCTGTCTGTCTGTCTGTCTGTCTGTCTGTTACGCTTTCCCGCTTAAACCTCGCAACCGATTTTGATGAAATTTGGCATAGAGATAGTTTGAGTCCCGGGAAAGAACATAGGATAGTTTTTATCCCGGTTTTTGAAACAGGGATGCGCGCGATAAAGTTTTTCTGTGACAGACAAAATTCCACGCGGGCAAAGCCGCGGGCGGAAAGCTAGTTTCAGAATAAAAGGTTGTTCTTAAAAAAGTTTAAAACACTTTTTAGTAGTATCTCAATCTCAGAGCTTTGGTTTAATTACAATACAATTTAGCACCAAAGTGCTCGAAAAGGCAAATCCAGCAAACCCAAACTCGATAAGTTTCCACCGTTTCGTTTAGGAATTCCTATGGCCACCTCCTGACTCTATCATCAGGACCCTGGACATCATCTAGTACCAAAGTGCTCGGAAAGAGAAATCCAACGAACCCAAATTCGATGCGATGCCGCCGTTTCATTTAGAAGTTCCTATGGCCACCTCATGACTCCATCATCAGACCAGCTCAATGGTACCATAACATTGCATTGTCATCGTACCTACTTACATAAGTATATCAAATTTCAGCTCAATCGGTTCAGGAAAACTGGTCTTAAATTCAGTTGCAAGAGTTGTCCCACACATACAAACAAGTGTCGTTAGTGATCTGGTTACAAAAACTGTTGTTTTGGGTTCTGGAAGTTCTGGAAGCCCGAACGTACTTGTCAGAACGCGTTTTTCTAGCGTTTTTCAGCGTGCCTGCTATATCTTTTTGGTAAATAGTAGGTACTGGATTAACGATTAACGGACTTAGCTAGGATAATTTAACGGAAGTTAACGAGTCCGTTAACATTTTTTAAAGTTAACTTAAAAGTTAATCCGTTAATAGAAATGTTAACTTCGTTAATTAACGATTAACGGATTAACGAGTTAATGCCCAGCTATGCCTATAGACCATTTATGAGTGATTTATCTTTGGGACATCGTAGTTAAATATGAGATGTCGTCAATCAATGTTAGCAATAAAAATCCAACAGTCATGTAGCGTGACGAACGCAGGTCGCAGACGTAGATTTATTAACATGTCGTTTAATTACACTTTTTGGGGCTTCCTTCCGTCATGCTCTAATTACAAGCCAGTCAGTGACCTATTTAGTGGATAAGTCACCATCTGTCATGTCATCTACACTTATTTCATTTAAACCAACTGACCGTTCTAGAAGTCAACTCCTAAGTACTCGATCAAAACAATTGATTTATCGACGATTCGGCGACTCTAACTTTTTGTTTCAGAAGTGTTCAAACTGTATTTTTTTAATTAAAAACAATTTCAAAAGACGAAACAATTTTTTTAGACTTTCTAAATAGGCTGGAAGACTCATCTGTGTAGATTTATAGGTTCTTAACTACCTACTTACTAAGCCATCGGGTTCAAAAGTGACTTGTTTTAAAATAAACACATTCTGGTGGCACATGTGCTCAATCAAGACCTAGATTAAACTGCTATAAATCTTTTTTATTGCCAATGACTCAAATCTGAATACCTATAAGTACCTACCTACCTACCTACTGTATTTTTTTCATCTTTGTAGATTAAGAATAGAAGCTAACTACTTAAGTCAAGTAATTAAAGTAAACAATGTAATTTAAATTATTTTTTATTTTTATTTCGAGCTATTTAAGTTTCTTACGACTCGTAAGTATATCTGTAACAGCACGACCGAGATTCGAACCTGGATGCCGCCATCCGTTATTCACACCACCATTCGTACATGGTGGGTGATCATTCCGTATTTGTCGAGAACAATAGCAACACAATAGTTAATATCCCAAAATCACTTTAAGTCCTACTTGGGTACACCTACCATACATAGCAACGTACTTGCATTTCGCAAGAAGATCACAGCCATATCTTTACTCATGTGGCCATATGTTGAGATTCATCATGTCACCCTTAAGGGGAGCGGTGGGTGATGTCAAATGCTTTTATGGCTTATTCACATACTGTAGAATTGTGTCAAGGTTTACGCGGTGCCATTCATAGCTGCGATTGTTGAACTCCTCTTTATCATGGTGGGAAATTAATTCAATTAAAATACGGTTTTGTAGATCGCCAGTCAAGTGGGCTTTCAAGAGTGGCGGCACTTTTTATTAGGTGACATTGAGCACATAGAATATAGTGCATTATAGTAATTGAAGCGTGGAGGAATAAATAAGTAATAGTTTTTTAGACTTGTATTTTTAGTTTAGGTACTTAACTACTGTTAATAACTTCTGAGGAAAATTATTAACCTTGCCTTACTGTTTTGTATTGAGAAATAATCTGATAAGAAAAACATTGGTTTCGAAATTGTCACTATATGTAGAGTGATAATGACTAAAAATAAATCACCATACAGTTAATTTCAATTCATTAGTTAGCTACAGTTAGTGTGTTCTTGTTATCCAATTTATCAGACATCTTAAAAAGATGAAGTTAATTTTAATATTTGGATTAATTTTTATTGGATTTTTCAATCCCATGAAGACATCGGCCTGTAAGTTTATTTTCAGGAACATTATTACCTAGTTACTTTTATTTTTTGTTAATTACTTAAGTAGGTAGTACTTAGGTAATCTCAGTCAGTGTAACTTTTATCCAAGAGTTGTTTTTATTCTTTATTTTATTTGTGTTTTTAGATGAACTCTCAATTGGCAGCAGATTCTCGCAAAATGCAGTAATATACCAACTTTTTGAAATGTTCAGAGGAATAATCAAATGCGGGGATGCCGACAAAAATGTGCCGGTGATGGATCCATACAAGTTTAATTTGGAAAAGGCACAACTTCAGGCTGTAATAAATGCGTAAGGGGCACCTACCTTTTTGATAAGAATTCTAACCAGCCTTGTTTAAAAAATGTGCACTCTGGCACCTCCTTACCCGATTTCGATCATAATATTAAACTTAAGTAAGTACTCTAATTAGACCAAGGTTCGTTCTCAGTATCGCTCAAAACATGTAGAGCTCTCTACATTTGAGCTAATGTAGGACCTAACTTTGTAGCTTGGAAATCATTGACAAATGAATAGAGTTTATCATAAAATTAGTACTTAGGAAGTGAGAAAAACAATATGTGATTTTTTGCAGTGAATTAAACATTACCAATGGAGTGGTCACCGGTCTAAGCGACTTTCGACTCGAAGATTTTGTATTCAAGAAAGATGAGGTGTCCTTAGACGTCGTTATAAAAATACCCGTCATCAAGTTGGACTCTGGTAAGTTACTTACACTTGTTTACTTAAAGTCAAAACATACTTATCAACCCGGAAAGGGATCAATACTGTTTCGAATCGTTTAGGTACGTTACGTTGCGCATAATACGTGTACTTACGTTGCAGTAGGTACGGAGTTTCATACAAAGAATACTGACCGCCTCCAGTTGATATGGTTACATACGTACGATCCGTTTCCGAGTTGATAAGTGTGCTTTGTCCTGCTTAGTTATTGAAGACTAGTAAGTAAGTAGGTAAGTAAACATTTTTATGATGACATGCAATGCATCCCGCATTCGATTCCCAGGCGCAAGATTAGAGTAGGGCTACTTACTAACCTATCTACAACTATAGCTGATAAAACAAAGGTTTCATACTCCAATCTTATCTTTCACACCTAGTATAAGTAACCATGAAAATTATTTTTTTCAGAATATTATGAAATGGAAGGGAAAATATTAGATATATTTCCTATCGCAGGCACAGGATTCCTTTAGTAAGTCACACACGGGTTTAAAAACAGTTGTTAAATAACTACACGCAGACATTTATTTTTTCATAAAATATTATTTCCTTGTTTCAGTGTTATTGCAAAAGATGTCACAATCTACAGTAGGCTCTACTTGAAACAATCAACCAATGGAAAATGTGTCGTCATTGATAGACTTGAAAATACTAGCTTTACCGTAGACAAGATTTTGGTAAGAATAAATCCGTAATGGAATAATAACACCCAAGGATACCTACCTACTAAACTAATAAATCTAAGTTTCTAGCATTATTAAGAGTCGCCTCGCGATCAAAATTATTAAAAAGCACTTGAAAAAATCGTAATGCCTAGCTGGGAATCGAACCTACGATTTTATACCTGAATTTCTTAGCTTTTGTCAGTATGATGTACCTACGTCTTGTATAGGTAGGAGGGTAGGTATATGTGGGTAACTAATACTTTTCAAAAGTTAAACTAATTTTCAGAGCCACACAGAGTTCGACAAAAACATTGACAACGTCCTGAACGCAATGATTGAAGACCTCCTCGCCGGCTATCTCACGAGATTCAGCAAGTTCATATCAAAGACTTACGAGGGCTATGTCGTCAGTATGCTAAATGAAGTTCTTAATAAGTATGAGACGTGGAGCATTCTGGCTACGATACTGCACAAATAAACATACTACTTATTATCCATCATGTTTTCTACATAAATAGGTATACCTATCTCGACACAAACTGTATTAAATATGTTAATAATAATGATTAAACTTATTAGTGGCACCCTAGTTCGCCGTGACCAACTACTGTAAACATCTTCACTTCATTAAGTAGGCAGTTAACTATGTTTTTACAGGAAATAGTTACATTTCAGAATTCTGGTGCTATTGCCTATTATGATAGCATCTTCTATTATTTAGGTAAATATCTACAGGGTGTTAGGTAAATGGGTATATGAGCCGACACTAGCCCATGTTAACATAGGCATATAAATGGTATGGTGAAGTCAGAAATTTGATATCATGATTTTTTTTTAAATTTTCATACAAAATAAAATTTTATAAAATCCGATTTGTATAAAAATTAAAATAATTAAAATGAAGATATTAATTTTCTGACTTCACCATACCATTTATATGACCATGTTACCATGGGCTAGTGTCGGCTCATATACCCATTTACCTAACACCCTGTATAATATTTAAAGATAAAATAAAATCTAATAACATTAAATTATCTAAAAAACGTAATGTCTTATCTTTCTGACGTACTTACTAAACCAAAATTTGCTAGGTAGTATAAAATTCGTAAAATAGGTAATCAAGTTCAGTTTGACTGAAATTAAAGTTATGCAGAACTTAAATGTTCCTTTCAAGCCACGATAGCTGAACGGGTCTGACTGACTGACCCGCTATCCAAGGAACGCGGGTTCGAACTCCGCTGACGCTCGTCTGTTGTGGTGAGCCCACTCATGGTACAAGCATTTAGCTTAGTATGAGAGGCTAACGGGACTATTAGTAATTTGTGCACAAATTACCAATAGTTTTAAGTGGGTAAGTGTTACTTCGATAGTGAGTGTAGTAGAAGTTAATTAAATGAAAGAGTGGACTGTATACAATTAGTTGTCTATTCGGCATAAATAATTAACAATGTTATCGAGACCGTTTTGTGCAAAGTCGTTGAAGAGAGTGCGTCAGGATCGTCATCTTCGATGTTCGCTCGCGAACCGAACATTGCTCTTTCGTTCGCCGAACGCTCGCCGCTCCCTCCGGTCACGCCGCCCGCGGGCAATGTCCGTGAGTAGACACTGTAGACAGTAAGTATTCTTTAAAAATAAAATTTTGAGAGACATTGTCGAACTGACCAGGTAAGCAGGTTTAAGTTAACCAATGGTTTGGTTAGCCTTGCTGTTTCTGTGATCTCCGCGGCCAGTTCGTCAGTTCAGAGGCAACAGAAACACCAAGGCTAAACAAAGGTAAAATGGAGATGAGACAGAATATTCAAAACGCAGCTGTTTGCGTTTAAGATGCGGGGAACGGGGGCTATAATACGACAATAAAATAATACTTTTATCACAATTAACAATAATGATTAGGTCGCTATCTTACTACACAATTTACCTACGTATTTAATAAATAATAAACGACAAATCAGTGCCAATCGACAGATTAATATTTAATACGTCTGTTTACGGTTTTCATTACAGTAAGCTTTTTTAATAGTGCTGTGAAACTATCAGGTGGGTAATGTTGTTACTTTTATTCATTTAATTTGAATATTTTATAAACAGTAACAAAACAAACAGTTATTATCTTATTTATGCCTCTATGACGCGATTAAAATTGCTGAATAAGTATGGGAAATTGGAAATAACCGTAAACTTTTCTCGAAAATAATTTTAGGTAGGTACGGCCTACCTAATTACAGATTTTAAACTGTGATTATTAGTACCTATCTATGATAGTCCTACGCATTATTTTTTTCTTTGTTGGAAAATCGTGCTAATCATTATGAAGTCGAGCGTAGGTATAATAACTGCTACAGAACCGAACTCAGGGCGTCAATTTCATAACCATTTAGTATGAGCAAGTAAGAAGTTACCTACCCAAGGTATGAGTGAAAAACCATCACAGCTCTTGCAAGAGTGAATGTATACTATAATAAATAAACTCCTATTTTACTATAGATAAACTCTACACGCTCTACTCGTCTGTGAAAATATTTGGACTAAAAAAAGGAGGATGGACCTCGACTCTATACTCTACTGATCATTGATGTTGTAACAACAGTACCAACGATAGAAGATTCATAATAAAAATAATGGTTCTATATTGGCTCACATAAAATTCTAAATCCTATTCTTTGTCTTACTACCGATTTGTGTTCATAATAATCTCTCTTCATAATTTTATTTTTCATACTTTTTTTATTCATACATTTTTATTACTACTATCGAAGCTCATAACAGTTAGTGATCATAATTTTTTTATCAATACTGTTACTACCAAGAACCATTTAAAATACATAATTTTTATTTTCAGATCTTTTTTCTTCATAACATTCATTGATCATATTGTTTTAATTAATAATGTTGTTACTAAGAACATACTTCAACTCATAATGTTGTTGTTCAGAATAATTTACTTTATCTTTACAGACATACTCGTATCTTTAAAAAAATCATATATAATTTAATAGAGTAGATAAGCATGCAGAGCATGAAGCAAGCACGCAGCATNTGCGCTACCAAAAATAATACGATGCAATGGCTCAATTCGATATGTACTGAATACGGCAACTCAAACTGTAACTGAATCAAACTCGCTTCATAATTATTTTAAATAACAAGAGCATTAAAATAATCGCCCCCAGTGGATCATTTATGCTCATTTGTGTGCATAATTTTGGTAGTTTTGTTCAACAATGACTGGACGGCAGAGGTTGTGTAATATTTCGAAATTTCTTTCAGGATGAAGTTTTATTTAGCGTTGCTCTTATGTGCGGTAGTCGCCGCCGCACCCTCGGAAAAGGCACAGCCTCAGTTTACAGGTAAGGAACATCGTCACTTGACGAAAACTAAACTTAAACTATATTTTTAGCCAGTTATTAGATTAATTAATTAAGTAGAAAAGTTAGTTACCTACCTAGCTACTTACATTAATATTTTGTGCGTAGATAGGTAGGTAAATACTTAAAAATTGAAAAACGGAACAAGATAAATAACCCAACAAATATAATATCACAACAAGGTACAAAAAGCGAACTTAATGCTATGGCATTCCTCCCAGTCAACTTTCGTTCGATCGCCCTACCTTTACTACCTTGCTAAAGGCTCGTTAATCAAAAAACTATAAAGTAGATATACCTAGACAAGAAAATGTTCTACGACAAGTACTTCATCAACAGTTTTCTATCTAGATCTCCTGGAAGAATTCTCCCGTACGAACGACAGGAGTTTCCTGGTAAACGCGCTCGTCCGCCAGCTGTTCACATACCTGCGTTTCGTCATCAACAATGGATCCGCCATCTTCGGCACCCCTCCCTTGGACCCCCTCATCTTGGACCACTACCATCTGTACATACCTGCAGGACTTATCAAGTTAGTATCTACCATAGAGTTAGAGATCTAGCTAGAGAGATGCTAACTAAGTAATGCGCTAAGTTCGAAACCCAGTGTCGCATTAGAAATTCACACACACAAAGATCAAAATAAAAACAATACGGTGTCGTCGCGAAGAGTGTGTGTCATGCGGACACACACACATTGCATTCAGTGCGACTATTATGCCTACCTGTAATAGGAATTAACTATCCTAATACTTACTTACCCCTTTTTGCTGACTGAACAGTCCTATCTATACTAAGGCTGGGTTGCACCAACTTACTTTGACTTTAACAAAGGAAAGTCAAAAATCTGTCAAACTCCATACAAAATAATACACTGGTTATCGTCAAATTTACGGAAAGACTTAAGTACGTAGGTACTAGTATGTAGGTAAGTACGGTTGTACAACGCACACTTTACACTTAGAACTTGTTTCTTGTTATTCTTATTATTAAACTAATATTAATTCCCATTTCAGCCTTGACTTGGACCTGAAAAATATTAGGGCGACCGGTTTCGGCGGCTTCGTGGTGGTAACCAGCAACCTGAACCTTTCCACCATGACTTTCGACGTAGAAATCTTGTTCCCAGAACTGGATATCACCGCTGGTATGTAATGGTCTTCATTAGAATCAGCTAAGTAATTAAGTATGTAATGAAAAATACATTTTTAAGTATTAATAGGATTACGGTGCTTTTCCCGCCTGTCTTTCTGACCGCTGCGCTGCAACTCCTGTGCAGCCAGGTCCTACAGCATCAGTCAAATAAGAATAAAATTATTACAATAGATCATTAAATATTTCGTTTAATATTAATATCTCAAGAAACAGTGGTTAAGTGTTTGTTTTTTACAGAGCACTACGACTTAAAAGGAGACCTCTACACCGCCATTCCCCTTTATGGAAAAGGACATGCTAGGTGAGTAGGTACCTACAAATAACACTTAACATTAGGTTTACAATTTACCTACTTATTAGTTCTCTCAGTAGGATCTTTAGTCCTTACCTATTTTATAGGTACGAGATTCGAAGTCGAACCCGAAACCTAGGCTCAGCTGGAGTTGCGCGTCGTGACGAAAGACTATCACGGACATAATAAGATTGAAAGAATATAAAAACAGACGATAAATACCAGTAGCACTAATTTGCTGATTTATTAGTAATTTGGTGGCTTTAAACATTGGTGTTACAAATTATTTACCAATTTCAGGTTCCTCGTGAAAAACTTCGTTTTCTCCGCGAAACTGTTCTTGAAGCAGTCTGAAGACCAGAAATCTATTCTTATTGATAGAATTGAAAACCCTTCTTTCAATATTCCTTCATTTAAGGTTAGTATCATAAAAGTACTGAATAAGAAGGTATTTAGTTTTATACTAGCGGCCGCCCGCGACTTCGTACCTATGCGTGGATCCCGTTTTACCCCCTTCATCTATCTTACACGGTTAAGATTTTTTCATACAAATGTTTTTTCCCGCTAACTCTTGATCCCGTGGGAATTTTGCAATATCCTGTTGTAACTAAGCTTTAAGTTTACTCAGGTACCTGCATGCCAAATTTCAAGCGTCTATCTTACGCGGTTTAGATTTTTTCCTACAAATGTTTTTTCCCGCTAACTCCCGTTCCCGTGGGAATTTTGCAATATCCTGTTGTAACTAAGCTTTAAGTTTACTAAGGTACCTGCATGCCAAATTTCAAGCGCCTAACTTAAGCAGTTTAGATTTTTCATACAAAAAGATTTTCCCGCTAATTCCCGGTCCCGTGGGAATTTCTAAGTATCCTATAACCTGCCCAGGAGTATGAAGAATAATTGTACCAAGTTTCGTTAAAATCCGTCGAGTAGTTTTTGTTTCTATAAGGAACATACAGACAGACAGACAGACAAAAATTTTACTGATTGCATTTTTGGCATCAGTATCGATCACTAATCACCCCCTGATAGTTATTTTGAAAATATAAGTATTTCATGTACAGAATTGACCTCTCTACAGATTTATTTAGATAGGTACCTACTTACCTTGTGTGAGCATCTCTACTAAGTTAATAGTAGGTACTTTAAGTACTTACTTATAGCTTCTAAACAGCACAGTCTGCATGCACAAGCACTGAAAAAAATGTCTACAGCTAAGTATACCTAGTTAGCGAGCCATTGTGGTAATAGTGGGCCACCATTTTTTCAGAATTCTATAGCACGGAAACTATACAAGGTATTGATGACGTACCTAAATAAAATTAAGGTAGGCCATTTAGCAAATGTATTCTATTCTTTGCACCAAGGGGATAGAGCGGTGTCTTATTTCACGGGCGCTACATTTGAATCCTAAGCGCAACGAATGATTCGAGGGTTAATTTAACAGCTTTTGCCTCTACCTTCATTATTTTGACTCAGTGCACCCACAACATGCATGACCGACTACTTATTAATTAAATGCTTTTTTACTTTACTTTAATGGCACAATAGACCACATACCTACTTTAGTAGGTACCTATTCGTTCAATATCGTACCAACATACATAAATAAAAAAAAATTACCTATAAGCAATCCCATGCTCTCAAACTGTTATTAAAAGATATTTCGAGCATGATTGTACCTATAACGACTTTTGATGCTGACTGTACCTACATAACACAGTATAACAATTTCCTAACTAAACTTTTCTGGGTTTTCAGGCAGCCATGACCGGCGCCATTGGAGGTGGTGATATCGACGCCATCGTCAACGCCATCACTGAGGACGTCATCATCGGCTACGTCAACCGCTTCCAAGCAGTCATTGCTAGCTATACCGCCGCTGGTGTAGTGATCTTAGGAAACCCCATCCTGGACACCCTGGACACCTGGAGATTCATCTCACCCTTGATGCCGAGAACGAACGAGGAATAATTTTGGCAATCGTATGAATGCGTCTTTGGCGATTTTCAGTAGTTTTACTGCTTCAAAACTGACTATGGATAACTAAATGCTCAAAAAGAAAAAAAATGCGAAAATAATGAAAGTTAATCCGTGTCCCCGCGGAATAGATATCCTACTTAGAACACGTGTTGCTGAAAAACACAAGTCTACGTAACTACTTAAATAAAAGGATTAGATTTTTATCTATCTCGATATTTATCTTGAATTAATTTATCTCTAGCTAGGTAATTTCTAAGTAACTACTCACATAATAAACGCCGATATTACCTAATTAATATTATATAAAAAATACTTACGCAATAAAAAAATAATGAACAGAAGTTTGCTTTATTTAATTAATCCCAGAGAATATTAGGCATTATACCAGATTAAATATTAAAAGTAAATAAACATAAAAACGGAATAATAATTATGCTTATTATTCAACACTTTAATTTTAACTTCACACTCCATTTTACCACACTTCACGACACACTCCCATAATGTCCATTTGGAGCCCTTCAGGACAATTAGGATCCGTGTAGTAGTCCGGAGAATCCTCGTACATGGCTTCTACCATCACAACTTGATGGTTCACGATAATAGGCACGACCACTTCTTCATCTGCAGACATTGCATCGCTTATTGGCGGTCTGGCTGCGGAATAGACGGCAGAAAGACATAACAGAATAATGAACGATGTTGGATACATTGTGCTGCTTGTGTGTAATTCCGAATAATGGATCATTATCAACTACACAAGGTCATACACAGCATCCTTCGCCCACGCGAAGGAAGTCTCCGCCTGTTCCGTCAAAACTGCATTAGATTATTTTTGCAAATCATTTTAGCTAAAGTTACGTCATTTTAGATGTTTTTTAGTCTACAAAGTTATTACGTAATTTTATCTCTCTCTAGGCGTAATCATACAGTCATCGTCAAGTAGTTCGTGACGCCCAAAGTAGCCAAAAGGTTGAGTTGTAAACTTTGCCTTAGAGTTTAGAGGCTTACCCTTTTAGTATAATTAGCTATTAACTAGCATAAACCCTCTGCACATGATTGAAGGAGATAAGAAATATTAAAGAAATGAAATAACAAAATGCAAATAAATGACTTTTTATTAGAAAACATACATTTAAAAACAATTTTATTCTTAGCACCTTTAGATAAACAATTAGTTTTTTGATATGAGTACATATTTTAATTAATTTGAACAGTGTGTTGTTTTAAATTTTACGAAAAATAAATAGAATAAATACATGCAATGGCATTTACAGTGCCATTAAAGACACCTGATTTTAATGTGATAATGATAAATCAAATGAAATCAATATGTCATCTATTTGACCTGTATTTATTCAATTTTTTTTCATCTTAAAATTTAAAACAAAACATTGTTCAAATTAATTATAATATGTACTCATATCAACAAAGAACTGTGTATCTAAAGGTGCTAAAAGTTACGGTTTTAGACATACTTACCAGCAATATCAATTTTAATAAAATAACATTATAGAATATTATCAAGCCAAGACCCTAAGCATTTGTTTGGAGTCTTTAGCAGCTTCATAGCGCCATTTTAACATAACAAAAAAATATCTAAAAGTATTCTCTCTTAACTAATTAATTTCACAAGTACTAATGAGTCGTTATCACAAACAGATTAGTCTTGTGGGTAACAATATAATATTTTATAAAAATATTTGGAAAGTTTTTGTTCATAAAAACTTTAGTGATATTTTTTTACTTTAAATCCAAGTCAATTTGACACAGCCAAAGTTAATTTAATTATGAATATCAAATGCCCATACTTAATTCTATTGTATTGTAATATCATCTGTGTACAGATCTTGAAGTTGTAGATTATTCATTGCCTAAGTAACCAGTTGCACAATACAAACACATATCATGCATATTATAAATGACTCATTACATGTCCTACACTTGGTGTTTTTCATTAACTTTCATGGATTCATAAAATGTGGAGCTTGACTGATCAATATAAGGGCTCTTTCAAATACATCATCACAGACGTCAGTCGATCTTTGCAGGATTGGATATGGAAAAATATATGATAACTGCGTTGGAAAAAAAATGTCAATTACCACGCGGAGGGTGACGGGCTGGCGGCGGCGCGTCTCGAGCGTGTAGTTGTCGCCGGCGAGCACGCGCACCAGTTGGAGTTTAATGCTTCGGCGGCGGCGGAGCGTGTCTTTCTCTAGGCGGTGGTGGAGGTTGCCTTTCGCGTGGTTGCGGCGGGCGATGTGCCGAAGCCCTTTGGGGCTCAGGCGGCGGCTGCCTTTGCCGCGGCTCTGGGGGAGGCTGCCGAACTCTAGGCTCTGGTGGGTGCTGTCTCTCTCTAGGTGGCGGAGGACCATGAACATCCGTATCCATACTGAAATTCAGACACTCTAATTAGTTTTTTCCTCGAAATATTGATTCGGTTTTAAAATAGGCACGTGACTTACATCTTTTCGATATCGAAAGATGACGGTATTATGGAGTGTTGATGATAAGGCAATAATGGAAGACAATGAGACAACTGTGTGCAAGAATGTCACGCGACACGAGCAGTGTTTGCTCCCTAAACTATACCTATCCCTTATGATTTTCTAAAAATACATTTTAAGCAGCAGATTATTTAATTACCTTAAATTTTATGTACGAAATTTCCGAAAATGCAAAAAATTTTAAAGAAAAAACGCCGAAAATAAACAAATGAATTGTCAAACTGACATTGACAGTTGTTTTTTTAATTTCGTGGAGACCATAGACAACCTAAATAGTAGTTTTAATTTCTGTCTATGGTCATTTGTCGTTAATATAACCGTAGCATTATTGAACTATAACCGAGTGAATGAATGAATGATCATAGACAAAAATAAAAAGTAAAAAATCAACGGAGAAGAAGAAAGAACAAAAACCAAAAACTACGAATGAAAAGTGATTTCGGAGAGAAAAATTGAAGCCTTTTCATGTGATTTTGTGGATTTGTGTTTGTGAAAAATTCATTGTAGACTGTGTTTGTTTAGTATTTTTGGAGCAAAGTTCCCAAAAAAACGTACCGCTTGGTAGTAATATGAGTAATGTTACCAACCAAAATGGAACAGGTCTAGAGCAGCAGGTCGGTACCTCATGCACCTCGTATTGATTTTTGCTGTATTGAATGAAAATCTGATTCTAGCTAGCGTTATCCGAATAATTATAATGTAATATGAGCCTTCATAAGTTTCGCCAACATGTTTCACTTTACGCTTCTGTGAACTTACAACAAGAATGGAATTTTACGTGTCCTGGGATAACCAACATGGCGACCCGAATCTTCTACTTTAGAGCCCTTCATTTGATTGAATTTGTAATATTCGCAACCTTCACATATCGTTTGGGTATTTCAATGCAGTACTTTTCCAAGCCACTGTAGTGAGGTCATTGTCACGTTATAAATGCGTGTCATGGCGGGAGGAAATTACAATTCGCGGATAGCTAAACTTCCAGAAGAGTGCAAAAAATGATAAAAATTATGAGATTTGGCTATAGTTACCACTTGATCAATGTTGTAATTTAGATGTGCGCATAGTCGTACAAAAAATAACACATGCTCTATAGAATTAGGTATGAAATTGGTCATGCTTTCATAGTTATGGTGATATGCGGATATGTTACGCATGTTATGTAGATTTCTTGTTGTAGCCATTGTATCTAATGCCTGGCGCTATTTCTAGCTTGCTGGTCTGGACTTGCAGCCTCAGGCTCCTAAGAGTGCTGGCCGCTACATACCCCCGCATCTGCGAAGGCAGTTGCAGGCCAACAACACTCAAGGTAAGTTACTGACAACAAATTATTTGTTTAGAGTAGGCGCACACTGTTGATTTTTCGTCGGCCGATAGTTTAGTCGGGCAGTTGATCAGTATGGGCATGTATGGGAGTGCGATTTGGCCGATTCTTCATACAATTTAAAATTGGACACGACTATCAGCCAACTAAAAATCAACGGTGTGCGCCTACTCTTAAATTGCTAATCTTCAACATATGATTCACTTCTGCAGCAATTTAGAGTTATTTTATGTTTCACAATATTATGTTTGTACAACTTACTTAACCTATTCCGTCCCGAGAATCCTCTGTCTCTACAAATGTTTTGTATTTATTTTTCTTTTTCTATTGCTATTACGCAATATTATTCTTCTGAAGTCAGATATTAATGACCATGGACCTATAAAAAAAGTCGGACGGATTCTCATCAACAAAATACTGTGACATTAGGATACACCAGCTTGCCTGTACGTACAGGCCGGCACGCACACATTCATACCCTGATACACCACTTCGAGTGCAAACTTCACACAGTTGACACATTTACGCGGCGAAAAAAAAACACAAATACGACATGTCTTGCGTGGTGTAATTGTGTAAAAACCGTTCTGATCGAACGAACAAAAATCAAGGAATCACATTTCACAGGTAAACTAATAATCTAATCACTTATTTCCCCGATTTTATAAACATTAAAATATTAAAATCAAACGTCAATCACCCGACAAAATAATACGTCAAAGGCCAGTGTTCTCAGTTATTTACGTGGGAAAATTACCCGAAACGTGGGAAATCTATAATTTTAAGACTTTTTAGGTGTTTATTACGCATACTATTGAAATAAAATAATTTATCTTAATAACTGTGTTTTAATGGGATATATTTTCGTAGGCAGATTTGATCCTTCCCAAGGGCGTGGAACTGCGAAATTCAAATTTTCTTATATTTTTGCAAATCCGTGTCAGGTTGTATGTTAAAATCTATCAGAGATAATAATATTGATGATACATAAGATTATGATTACGTAGGTACCTACACAAGATTGATAATTTGTAACTGCGTGAATCGTACCTGACACTGACTTGCAAACAAAGTAAGAAAATTTGAAAATTTCGCGTCTACCTCAACATATTCATCTTTCATCCTTTTCAAATGGCAAGATATAATTCCGTCTACATTTCCAAAATTCCAAGTAACATATCTGCCCATCTATGTTTTTCTTAAGATAAATGGGTAAAATGTTTTGGCTAACATGGCATCCCTAAATTCACTCACACAATAGACAAACGCCAAAATTTTGCGTCACAGTTTTGTTGTAGCGCGAGTTCCGTCCGCCTTTTTTTATAGGTCCATGTTAATGACGATGTTAATAACTAAGTTTTTACATAGTTATTTCCATATGACAGTTAAATCAAAACATCAGCTGATGTTTTGACATATGGAAGACAAAGAAATGGGAAAGTTACTTATTTACACATAATAAGTTTATTTTTTACCAGATATGACTGGAATATGGAATATGAAAGTAACAAATGAAGTAAATTTTTCTAAATTCTTTTTTTTTTCTATAAACTCATTATCTGTTATTAATTAATATGTACCCCACATTCTTCAATACTGTATGTCTATGTCCACAAAGTACACCAATTGATAAACAGTTGATGTGAGTCACATATGACTCATTCGACAGGAAAGCTCTTAAAATTTTTATATTTTTAATTTGGTATAAAATCGGTAGTTTCTCAAACTATACTTACAATATTTTTATTTAGCAATAGCAATTAGATATTTTGTAGCCATTTTTTTCCAGTAGAAAAATTATTTATTGAGTCTACACTTCTTTAATTAAATTGCTGTATAGTTCTTGCAACTCACGAAGGTGAGTGAGCTTTACTTGTGTGTGTATGTGTAGAATAGATGCACATAACGATAGTGTAATGTCATGTAATTTCTATCAAAACTTGAAAAACGAATTCTGGATGGAATTTCTGGATTTCTGGCTAGATAATTCTTCATTCGGTTTTCAGTTTGTAGTTAATAAAATACCTACTTAATTTTTAGAAACATTTCTTCTTGATATCATTATTGACAGTGACAGGTCTTTGTTTACAATAAAATTTTGCCTGAAAATATCCAGACAATATGTAATTTATCCTTTAGCTATAAAAAGTTTCCTGAAATTTTGACTACAAAGAAAATATTTCATAAAGTTTTTACAAGAATATTAAATTTTGTGTCATAGTGCATAGAGAACAAAAAGCAATCGGAGCTGCAAGGTCACGACATACGACGCGACGCCTGAATGAAGCCGCACCGATACGATTTGCTGCCATTTACGGCATGTGTTACAATAATAATGAAGTTATGTTTGTTCGCCAGTCTGCATAAGTATTCCGAATCTCAAGTGACATGTTTTCTCAAAAACACTGCAGTTTTGTTTATAACCTGCATTCTGAATGAGACGTTTATATTACCATTTCATGTTTTTTCATGAATTTCGTTGAAGTGAGTTGGTAATTTGGTATAATCCCGTAGGTGTTTGCGACGTAGTAACCTACCTACGCGACAGGATTTGAAGGCGCACGGCGCACCATTTACGTTTCGGTTAACATAACATTATTATGCAAAATCAGTCGCCCAGTTGCATCGTACACATTATCCCTATACATCAAACTCGAATGTTCTCTGATAATAAAGCAATGGACAAATTGCGATTACAATAATATGTTGTGCTATTTACGTTAGCGAACATAATATGTTGTCATATTATGACCCTAAGCAGTTGAAAACACCTAAACTTTTTGTTTTTTAATATGTATTGAAAACTAGCTTTCCGCCCGCGGCTTCGCCCGCGTGGAATTTTGTCTGTCACAGAAAAACTTTATCGCGCGCGTCCCTGTTTCAAAAACCGGGATAAAAACTATCCTATGTTCTTTCCCGGGACTCAAACTATCTCTATGCCAAATTTCATCAAAATCGGTTGCGAGGTTTAAGCGGGAAAGCGTAACAGACAGACAGACAGACAGACAGACAGACAGACAGACAGACAGACAGACAGACAGACAGAGTTACTTTTGCATTTATAATATTAGTTGGGATAATCCTGAGTAAAAATATTTTTTAACATCATTTTACCTACTTTTAACCTTTGCACGCATACAGGGTGTCTTAAAATTAGCACGTCACACTTAACGGGTCTAAAACGCACCAAACAAGCCTAATAATATTTTCATAGAAAAGTTTCATGACTTATTTGTGACGTTATTATTATTTATTAGTCTTGTTCAGTACGTTTTAGGCCTTTCGGTGTCAATGAGACGTGCTAGTTTTGGAACGCCCTGTAGATTCAATGTTGCCGAATCTATCGGATCGGATTAGGAACTTAAATTTTTTATTAATAAGTCGATTCCTTTGTTTAAATTTACGTGGGATTCCCTGATATGATTAATTACAGTTTTTATCTTTCCGATTAAACATTTTCGGGAAATTCCCTGAACCTCATAAGTATGACTTCAACATCAGAATACTTTCTCCGATTGTATGACTAACTTTCATCTTCACGCGTGAGTTGTGAAAAGCCGACGATGACGTTGATGGTTTATCGTTCCACTCAACCATTGAGCGAGGCGTTCGTCCTGTTCTATTCTAAGTTATTCTGATTAATTTCGTTGCGCGTCCAATGACAGGTTGTTTCCCCCTGGGACATACTTGACCTTCATTGGTTGGGTTTTTATCTGCGGTCCAGCTGTAGATCCTGGTTACACAGGAGTTGCAGCGATGGGAACGAGAGGAGGGAATAGTTCAATCATTCGTTCAAGACTTAAAAGATACGTTAGTTGACAGGGGAATCGTTCGTTCGGGACTTAACAGATACGTTTGTTGACAGGGGAAGAGTCTAAGCGTCAGAGCTTAGACAGCCGTTCTAACGACCCACCGGCGGAGAACCGTTCATCATTCGGAAGCAACTCTAGAGGATACGACCGTGGTGGTCGGCGCGACGACCGCGAGCGTGACCGCGACCGTGATTACGATCGCGGCTACGATTCGCGATACCCGCGCAGGGACCGCGGTAATGTGTTTGATTGTTCAGACCGTTTTGTAGACGTTACCTTTACATTTGGGAGCAAAAAAGTTTTGTTGTAATTTACGCGCGTATTCTGAAACGACGACGAGTCTAATTCGAGCACAAATTCAAGGCCCTTATTGGTTTATTTGATCTAATTTGATTCTTAGTGTAGATTTATTCTTAAGTGTGTTGTTTTATAATACGGGCTATAGTTTTAATTTTTAGTCTTGTAATAAAAAAAAAATGCTATCTCCATTTTGTATTTTATGTGAGGAGAAAGCCTTTAGTGAATTTCATAGTAAATATGTTTTTCATATTTCTCCAATAAATCACTATTAATAATTAATAACATAAGCATTAGAAGGAAATTAAATTAAATTTCACAACAAGATTTCATAATTTTAATTATTTTTGATCGATTTTTTTGCTCCTGGTTGTAGTTATAGCTAGATTAATACAATCCAACCGGTTACGTAGTTGATGAGTCACTAATTCCGCTCGACCGCTAAGCGTACCTATTATTACCTAGAACTTCGCCAGACATCCATATAGGTGTAACGATATTTTGTATTTTCAAGATTTATAAGAATTGTAGCAATAGTAATGAAAATCATATTGATTTAACTGTTGATCACCATCTTGTACACACTTGAATATGTAAATGTCTAACGCCTTTGTTATATTGTTTGTCATTGCATTATTTCTAGCCTTTTCAAATATGATGTCTGATTATTATTCTAATGAGTATGTCCATCAGTTAAAAGATATGTTGTCTTTGCTAATTTACGCGTTAGTTAATTAGTAACGGTTATAAAATGAAATATAAATTGCTCCAAAAATTCTGTAAGAATTGTTTGGTCCAGTTTCCCCAGGCATTGGCGTGTTGAGCGTCGAGTGACATGGTACTCAGTAAATCCCTTCAAATATAGGTAAGAAGGCGACACAGAATGAGTGGTGACATGCGACCTTCCAAGGTCGATTATATTTAAACGCCTGCTGATAAATTAATATTATTATGTACTCTATATTGGAAACGCTTGAAACATTCTATTTTATCCTATATCTATATTATTTATTTGATATTATTTAAATAGCTTGTATATTTTACATGTGCATTTGCAAAAGTACACGCATGCTTTATAAATATGTATATTTGCATATTCGAATTCAAACAGGGAAATGAGTCATGTCACTGGCCAGTCCGAAACAATTGCAATTTGACTGACTTCCTCCCGCTACGCAGGTCGTGAGCCAGGATACCAGAATGGCGATTCAGATCGCTGGGCGGAGCCGGAGCGTTCTGACCGGTCGGAACGTTCTGACCGGGGCTCCAGCGGACGCAGCCGCGACTTCCGCGACGTGCGCCGCGACGAGGAGTACAGCGAGCCGCCGCCGCCGCGCAACGACCGGTGGAAGGAGCCCGAGCCGCGCGCAGAAGAGCGCAGCAACACCCGCTGGGCCACAGACGACGTCCGCCGCACTAGCTCTCGCAGGGACGAGGTTAGTGATAGTGTGAGTCATACGCAATCAAATGGAAATTCAGACATTCATTAGTAGATAAGACCACAGGTCACGGTGACTGCTCCGGACTCGAGCGGAGCAACGCTGCTCTTTGCAGCCACAACGGTGACAGGATACCGTGAGTTTTGAAGACCGATCAGCTTATGAATACCTTGCCTGCACCAGATTTGTAATAAAACCTATTCTTTCTTGACTCATAAGCTTTTTCCTTAAAAATATTTAAAAGTCACTTAATTGACCCCGAATGAACTTGGATAACCTTTCGCAGACGAATGTAAATACTTACCTCATTATACAATTCCAAGACAATGTAATTAAAGATTAGGATAAGTTCAAGAGTTATTAACTTCTATCATTCCTAAGGTTTCATATATTCAAGACATAGTACAAGTAATTTATACTAACCCACGTAAGTTTACAAATACGACATTGACTTCCTACAGCATCTAAAAATAGCTAGTTTTAAGGACTATCCATCTCCTTGCCATTTCAATAATCTTAAGCGTCTGTTTAAACTGTATGAATAAATGAATCTAAGTTACGCTTCATTTGACCTGCATTGGAATTGCGCAAATGTATTAGGATCTTCCAAACAAAGATAAAGATATCTTCCGGAACTTTCTAGAATTTGCTTCTGCTATGTATTGTAAATAAAAAATAATAACAAGCGTACAAAGCATGCTTGCTAAGCCTGGGCGCTTGTGACGAAAAAGGAGGTATATAAAATCAGCTATTGCATGTAGTCCAAAGTACAAAATCAGGTGATTGGGACTGGTGGTAGTTACAGAAGATAAAGGACTGCCCAGCGTCACATCAGTAACGGTATGGGCTTATAAGCGGACCAGACACTTACATTTTAGCTATGTCATTACTTTTGACAGTGTGTAGTGGCAGCTATAGTGAGACAAAGCTATAAATATGTGGGAAGATTTCGAATGTAATTACCGAAAGAAAGAATAACAGTATTGATGTCATTATTTTGACACGACAATAGCCCAATGGTGTCGGGTTCAGACTGTGATCCGAAAAACGCGGGTTCGATCCCCGCGCCGCTGGACTATTGTGGTGAATCCACTAGTAACACAAGCATAATAGAACTAGCTTTCGGCCAATGGACACGGTTCCAGGCCAGTAAAAAAAAGACAGGAAAAGAAGAAAAAAAAGTTTATCACTTGTTCAAAGGGATTTTCTCTAAATAGAAATACTGACAGTGTCTGGTCCGCTTTACACCGACGACAATATCATAACGCACTTTGACCGTGTATGTTTATTTCGCAGAATGACTGGACGGTCCCGCTACCTCGCGACGAGCGGCAGGAGTTGGAGCTGTTTGGCACGGGCAACACGGGCATCAACTTCTCAAAATACGAGGATATACCGGTTGAGGCCAGCGGCGAGCGCGTACCGGACTATATTACAAGCGTGAGTTTGTTTTGAACTATTTTGTGCTAGTTTTTTTTTTTTACTGTGGCGTACTGTAGTCAGTGTCGTGTAAAAATTATATTGCCGAGTATGTAACAAATATATGCAGTTATTTAACAAAAGATAAATTCATTCACCAGCTGCTTTCGATAGACAAACCATAAACAAATATACTCATTACGAACACACTAAAGAATAGAAGAATGGGATTTCTGGACTTTCTGATTTTATAAGTGCCACTAGTGGTGTTAGCTACAGAAATGGAAAATGCTTAGCTTTAAATACGAAACTGTATTCAGATTACATAAAAAGCACAAAAGGCAAAGCAACAGAATTATGTCCAAAAACAAGATGGCTAACACCGTTGCTAGGCTGTAGTCCATAGACCATGGCCTAGCATCGGTGTTACCAGATCTGTCGCCAACAAGTGGTCTAAATTGAACAAAATATTTTTGATTTTGATTTGGTATGTGTATAAATATAAAATGAAATTAAATATTCTAATCAACAATATTCATATCACATTGGCACAATTTATTATCTAGTTGAGAAAAACTTGCATTTTAGTGGAATTGAGTAAAGGTCATTTACCTTGTTATCAATATCATACACAGCACTACAACTATCAGAACAGAACAAATGTAGGCATGGTGTCATGTCATTTATCAAATAAATAGAAGTACATATTTGGATTGAGTAATGGATCAAAAATATTTTGTAGACTAATCATTTTGTGAATACTGATCATCTCATCCCAAGCATCTGTAAGTAAAAAGTCGCCGTGAGCGAGGTAGCATCGCTACTAACGCGCGTTAGTCGCATTTGCAATGCACTACAGAAGTGCAGCAGCGCGACTGCATCGCTACATAAAGTCGCCATGGGCGAGAGCTCTAAATACGGAAAAGAAACTTCTTTGTATTCATTTCAATTGAAAACAAAGTGTTTACGTAAAATAACGAAAACAATGTTAGACGTTTACAATGGAAGTACCTAAACGACCACTTGTGAAATTTAATTAACGAGCACTAAGTAATAACCACAGATCACAGAAACTGATGGAAGATGTGACAAGGGGGCGGGGCCGGTGTCCCAGCAATATGCCCAAAAACAGAACACATTTCTCGTTAAAGCAATTATAACAGTCAGCGTCGTCATAATGTAAACAGCTTACATTGCTTGCGTAGTACTAAAGATTATTCGAACGTTGAGCCCTAATACCGCAGTGGATAATGATCACATATTTTGATTACTTTGTGTGTGTGAATTTCTAATGCGACACCGAGTTTCGAACTCAGCGCATTAGTTGGCATCTCTCTATATCTCTATGGTAATAACCAATTTCGTTTGTCAACAGTTCGAGGAGGTTAACCTGACGGAAATAACTCGTTCGAACATAGCACTCGCGCGCTATGACAAGCCCACGCCGGTGCAGAAGTACGCGATCCCGATCGTTCTCGCGCACCGTGACGTCATGGCGTGCGCGCAGACCGGCTCCGGCAAGACGGCCGCCTTCCTCGTGCCCATACTCAACCAGATATACGAGGCGGGGCCCGTCAAGCACATGGGGTAAGTTTGAGCAGCGCTCGAACCTAGCACTTGCGCGTAGAACCAGAGTAAATACAAATGAGTAGGTCATCTTCATAGAAACGCACCGAGCGCGGTTATTATGTGAGCGCGCCAATATACGTATGCGCACGCACACACTGACAAAATTTTGCGGTGAGGTGCGCCGAATTTTGTCAGTGTGTGCGTGCGCGCCGCATACGTGTTGGCGCGTCCACATACAAACCGCGCCCGTGCGTTCCTATGAAGATGACCTACTCATTTGTATTTACTCTGGTAGAACGTCATAGTTCACTCACTAGCAGCTCCGGTAAGACGGCCGCCTTCCTCGTGCCCATACTCAACCAGATATACGAGGCGGGGCCCGTCAAGCACATGGGGTAAGTTTGCGCACCACTCAAACATAGCACTTGGATTATATGTACAGTACTTAAGGCTCTCCAAACGGAACGCGTACTTAGAGCGTTAGCCTGACGTCGCGCTATTGCGTCAAATTGTGATGTTAGAATGTGGATAGTTTTATGTCAAACACAGCGCTGGCGCTAGCAATAGTCGCCGCGTTATGATGGTGTGACACCGGATTCTACATTCTACCAATACGATTCCGCGCTAAAGCACGACGTCAAGCTAGCTAGCGCTCTACGCCGCGGAAGTATGCGTTCTATTTGGCGAAGCCTAAATACGAGGCGGGGCCCGATATTGTACAGTCGCAGAATGAAAAGGTTCGTCACCTTAGTGTCGGTTTTCGCTTGCACTACTGTAAGAGTCAAACCTGCCAACATAACAGTGGAAGAAACAGAGCTGCTAACATTTAAATAAATATGACGTTTGCTAACGAATAAGGTTTTGCTTGTTTATTTTTCTATTCCATCAGTGCAATGTTACAAAATGTAGTTTTTTATTTATTTAATAGATAATGGCAGGTTGAACCAACAAGAAGGTTTTAGTTTATCAATCATAATAATCTTCTTGACAAGTTAAATCGTCAAACAACTTTGATCTGAATAATTTTGAACTTTACTGGCGAACAGTTAAAGATTATTTTTTCTAACTCGAGATTATTCTGTAACATAGTTTCAAAAGGTAATATGTGCTCGCGATTCGTTGAAGGAATCAATTTGAAAACTGACGAACCTTTTCATTCCGTGACTGTACATGGGGTGTGCGCACCACTCACTAGCAGCTCCGGTGAGACAGCCGCCTTCNCAAAAAAAAGTTAGGGTGTGCGTTAAAGGGTTAAATATTTGCTAAAATAATCTACAAGTACGCGGCTACGTTTTTATGGCCAAAATATTAAAATTTAACATTATAGAAAGCCTAACGACAACAGTAATTACATTTAACATTGTTTGAATAAGAGTAACATAAGCTCAAAGTCATGCCTATTTTAGATCAGAAGTACACAATTTTTCTTTTTTCTCGTCAAATTCGATGTATCGCTCACGCCACCATTACGATTTGACTGAGGCGGGGATGTGTCCAGAGCTATGTTTTACCAGTGAAAGAAACTAAATGACGTTAGTGGTTTCAGCACAATCGCGAAAGATCATTTTACCCCAGGGGATCAACTCGTACTACTTTCCCCTAAGTATGATCTGAAATAAAAGAGCGGTAGATTAACCCGGTTTAGCCATCTATTAGGAATGGGACGTTTCCATTATGACTATGTAGTGTCGTCGTTACCTCGTTACTAAACTCATTTTTTTTGTTACCTACTTATCGACATTGGATCAATCGGTCAACGTTTTTCACTCGTATTGCTTTAAAATTATTTTTTTCGTCGTATACTTAAGTTGTTTTTTTATCTACACTCGACAGCAAATAAATCGCACCACCCGCGACAAGCATTTTCAAACGTATGCTTCCCTACTTCCCACCAATATTTGCACCATTTAAAAGCCTAGTTCTAAAGTTCATTTTATTAAATAGTTATTATTTACCCCAAAAATGTGTCTTTACAAGGATCCAGAGTCACTTCTTCAAAAAATAGGTAGTTACGCTATAGCCATTTTTTATGACTATAAAACTGTTAAGTTGGGATTAATCGCTATCCATCTGTTAAAGAGGACACGTGTGATCATTATTTGGTTTTATAACCATAAAATTTGGTCTAATTGATCCCAGAGGTGAGCCCAAAGTGAGGTCTTTTTTCAAGTCACATTTATGGTATATGTTAATCATTTATTAAGAAATTAAATGTGTTTTTCTTTAAGGATATTTATTAGGCTTTCAAATAACACCAATATTGTTGGGGCACCATTATTGTGTCAAAAGAAAATCTTTAAAGTTCGCGTCGCGGGTGGTGCGATTTATTTGCTGTCGAGTGTAGTTCTAACATAGGACCCGTTATTAAAATAACTGAATACATTCGTGCTCAACAAACATTTTCTCCTTCCGCGGAATGTGAACCTGTGAACGAACTGACTGCAATCCAGTATGCCTAATTAACCGAACGGCCATCAATTAAATTAGTCGATCAACCACT